TCCAAAAGAACTGGGAAGACCCACCCTCTATCTCTGCCACCCCAAAACACAATAACTTTGGGCCCGTAGGAAGTCACGTTAATGTCCCCACTTCTCAGTATCAATTTTCTTTATCAGTTACTTTTCATTGTTATTACAAATTACTTGACAAAAGCCACTCAAGTGTTTACTTTGTGTTACAATTTGGGGTGGGGTGGGGTGGGGTAAGGAGACAGTCCTTTGTGGGATGCATTCATCCTGTCAGATGAGCAAGGCAGGTGGTCACATTGGATCCACAGTCAGGAAGCAGATTAATGCTTGAGATCTGCTGGCTTTCTCCTTTTCACTTTTCAGTCAGGGCCCTCAGCCCCAGTGTGTGGAGCTTCCCACACCCAGAGTGAGAGTTCAGTCCCTAGTTAATCCTCTGGAATCACCCTTACAGACACGTCCAAAGGTGTGTCTCCTAAGCAACTAAATACAGCCAAACTGGCAGTAAAGATTAACTACCAAACAATCCAAACATTCAAAAATAATTGGTTAGATTATTGTCATTCAAGAAGGATGAAAGATTTCCAAGTGCACTGACCAAAAGGGGTCTTCATATGTTACTAAACCAGCAAAATATGCTGCAGGATGTTCCTAGTAATATCAGAGAAGACTTGTAAAAATATTCTGTTTAGTCTAGGTTTAAAGCTCAAACACATTTAAATCTTCAATCATTCCATGTGTTGTGAGGTCACATTCTTATTTTCACAGAGATAGGTAACCTGTTTTGAAGGGTTTGTTGTTATTTCAGACATTATCTTGTCATGTGGTCTTTAACAGGTCCTCAAACTCATGGAAATTCTCAGCCTCACAAGTGCTGAGAATACAATTGTGTCGCACTATAATCAGCTTCATAACAGCATTGGTTGGAGACTGCTCTATTTAACACCTGTGACAAAAGCAATTGAATTTGCAAATATATACTGTGGTGTGTGTATATGTAATGTAGAGTTCATACACATACCTACTTCATATATATAGTTCTAGAATATTCTCTTTCACTGACCTTTATATCTATCTTAGTTCCTTTCATATACCTGTAATACAATAGTGTAGGCTGAAGGATATACATATAAGCTCTACTTCTGAAACCATCACAAGAAATTTTGATCTTGAATTTTGGAATGGACACATTAAAAACAATGTCAGCTTTAATCCAGGAGGCAGGATCAGGTGAATTTCTATGAGTTCAAGATCCACATGGTCTACAGAGGGAGTTCCAGGACAGGCTATGTGGAAATCTTGTCTTGAAAAGCAAAACAAAACAAAGAACCAACCAAACAACAACAAAAAGAGCTTTGTATGCCAATACCACACTACCTAGAAGATGCCAATAAATGTTAGTTTTTAAATACCAAAACATTTAAATTTTATTGAAGTTTTAATCTCGGTAGAAAACACTCAAAAGCATGAAGAAATCAAAGGGGTTAATTTTAAAAGAAAAGGAGAAACATGGAGCTGAGAGCTGTTATTGGAATGAAGCTGTCACTCAGCCTTCATGAAAACACTCTGGAAAGCAGGGGTGAGGAAGGCCTCACAGGTGAAAGGGACCAGTGGGTGAAGTCAAGATGGAGAGGCACAGGTTCTATAAAAGACTCCCACAACTGGGTGCACAGTAAAGAGACAAAGAACAAACCCTGATCCATGCTTCACAGCTGAACTTTGCCCAAGGAGCAGAGACCCCATGGAGAAGAAACACAAGTATGGAGCAGACAGAAAGCCAGGGCTGAAACAGTTAAATTGCTGACTATGTCTACATGCTTCTAAAGGAGTGCCTGCCCACCCTGGGCAATTCAGGACACTGCAGGAGATTGAGAGAATCAGAGCCAGAGACTGTGGTCCCCACCAATGACCAGCAAATTACAGACGCACAGTGGAAGTTCACCTGCAGTGAACACAGTCATAAAAGCAGGCCGGAGAGGGAAAGAGATAGCAACAGGTGTGAACTTCAGGACAGGAAATGTCCAGTGGGACAGTCAAGTGTCCACAGGAGAAAAAAAAAAAGAGTGAAATCCAGAGTCACTACAATGTAAAATTTTCACAAAGTTATAGGATGGCACCTCCAGAGCAAATCATTCTACAAGACAAAAGCATCTGGGATCTGTATCCTTCCTCTGTGGGGCTTTTGAATATCAAGGGTTTAATGTTAAATTCAATGACTGTAGAGACTTCAATGTGTTTATTGATATCTCTAAGACTTAAGACAGTGTCTGACAGACCAGGTGCCCATGAGTGCTCACCAAACGAGTGAAGAATGAAAAAAAATACACTTCACTAACTGCAGGTTCTTCTCAAGGCAACAGTGGGTCTAGTTCTGAAGCTAGAGTCTCTGTGGAGGTTTCGGAATGGTGAAATAACTTCATATACATTAGTTAAATATTGAAATGTGGTGAATCAAAACCAAGTTACAAGTTAGATAAATTGGTTGTGTATTAAAATGTTTTAAAGCAGAATTTAAAATATGACGACAGGTGAATATAAGCTTTAATTTTTTTTTGAAATATGGAGATGTGGCTCTTTAATTTCAGTCTTTTCTGTCTTATTTGCTGACCAGACATGCAAGTTTGTAAACGCAAGTGGTGGGGGGTAATGATTAGTGTTTAGTAATAATTAGATTTCTAAGAAAGAAATCAGATTCCCCAAGCAGAGCAGATAGTAGCCATTGGGAAGCTATCCTTAACAAGGAAAGAGGGATGGTTTCCTTGCAAGTACAGAGCTTAATTCAATCCCCAAAGTGTTGGGAGAGATATTGGGCCCCAGCCCCATGGGGTCTCCGTGAGTTGCTCGACAGCCAATAAACACAGGTACATCCTGTGTTTTCTAGTCCTGGATTACAGCCCCAGCCATATCCCACTGGCATAAAAAACATGAGCTCTTACATCTGGGGTTTTTCCACTGTTCTGTAAGTCTGTATATAAGGCTACTCCCTCCCTGAAAAAAAAAAAAAAAGTCAAACACACATTCTTTTAGCAAACAACTGGACATCTCTGCTTTTAAATAAGTCTCCAGACTTTTGCCCGACACATTGACTTGTTTGTGGCACCGGCGCCACACCAAAGTCCATTTAGAAATGCTCTGTCTAGTGGTCTGGGTTTATAATCCCATCATTGAGGGATTTGAGACAAGAATCCCCAAGGCTCACTGACTAATCATTCTAGCCCAATTGGTGAGCTCCAGGCAATGACAGACCCAGGCTCCTTGAAAGTGAACAGCATTCTTAGGGATGATACTCCAAATTGTCCCTGTGCCTCCACAATCATGGGCACACACACACACACACACACACACACACACACACACACACACACACAAACACATTTACACAAATACCAACAAGGTTAAAATGTTTTAAAAAGAAATTCTCTTTAGTACAGGATAGGGCATGTTAGCCTTTTAGTCACTAGAGGGGAGTGTTGTTTCACGCCAACAGGAAACTAACCACAGAGCCTCGAAGTTGCTTATTTGCAAGGTGAACAGCCAAAAAGTAGATAACTAGGGATGAAAAAATGCTGTAACAATGAAAGGGTTACTGAAACTTAGCTAAGGGGAGGGAGAGACCAATGGCCTTTGCCAACACAGATTCTCATTGTTGGTATTCACAGTAAGCTTTAGGGCCTGGGGAGATGAGATGGCTCAGGGAACAGACTACAGCTATAAAGACTTAGTTGGGATTCCCAAGATCTGAGTAAAAGCTGCGGGAGGAGTCACACAGTTCAAGGACGGACACACACACACACACACACACACACACACACACACACCACACAAAGTGGAGCGGGGTATAGAAAGGGAGACGTTGATATATTATCGATATTTAACTGTAATACTGTAAATAATTTGTTAATTATTAACAAGTAGGAAAATTTTAATATAACTATAGGGTGGCGTTATTTTCTTTGATGAGTGATTTCTGAAATGTTCTTAAATTTTTTAGACTAGAATTTCACTCATGGGTGAAAATGTGAATTTGGTGAGTTTGCTTTTACAATCCAAGAATGACGCCAACTGTTCTTAAACTTTTAAACTGACATTATCCTAGAAAAAAAATACTTTCCCAATATGAATTTGGGATTAGTTCAAAGTAAATAAGGCAATAGTTTGAAGAAGACTTGAAACATAGCTCATCCCTATTCTTTTCCAGCTGTGGGTCTCATTGTAAAAGTATTATATATTTACCCTATATAAAACAAATA